TTCTCGAGCGCTTCGAAGCATGGGGATTTTTCGTGCAAAAATGTAATATCTCGCACAGACGACGCATCTCATGCATCCGTGAGGAATGGAACCTCCTCGGAGAATCCTATCTCAGAAGTAAGGGGCATCCCAAGATTGGCCCTGTTCTTTGATGACCTAGATTTGCACGAAAGACACCGAGACATTTTGAGGACTCGCTCAATTTCAATTGAATCGCTATTCCGTGCCAAAACGCGGTCGTCCTGATAAATAGGCTCACGAACAGAATAAACGAAAAACTCGTGCGACAGCGTCAAATGAATGAAATCGTCCTCATCCCATTTTTTAAGGAAATCCAGAACCGAAAGCGATTTTCAATCTTCGTTGATGTCTTCAAGGGCTTCTAGATGACGCGAAATGGAAAGTCACCAGTCACTTTTCCCACTTCGGATGAGATGATTTCTTAAGATTTTGGGGATAAATTCTCTCCAATATGATCGATTGCAGTTGTGTCTGTTTCACGATCGTGAACATTTCTTGTCCAATATCGCGCAAAATACAGACCGATTGAGATTGGTCGCAATCCAGGATATGGCAATAAATTGAGCACGAACGTCTCGAACCGCACGAAAGTGATGGCTCAGATACGATCAATAATAAGAATTTTCTCACTATCGTAATGTGCCATCTGATAGGGAAACGGAAGTTCGTTAGTGCCAAAAAAGAACATAGATTTTGAAAACGATACCCCTTTGACCCTGTCCATCACCATTTGGGCCACCGAGGGGGTAGCCATCTATGCGTTACACCCTGTAGATCATCGGATGATATGGTGATCCCGGAGGATTCCCCACAGAAAGGAACAGAGGATCAGCTAATGGATGCATCATTAATTTTAATGAATCCACTCTTTCCAGATCTCTATATTTTGGAGATCGGAAGGCGCCCGTTTCAAGGTCAAGGATGTCGAGATAGATATAGAATATTCAAGGCCAAACATGACAAAGAGCGACTAATGACGTGTCAATCTGCGTCCACGCTTTGGATCGAGAAAGGAACGCAATTCCTTTCGAGCCAGGAAACAATTTTTTTTAATAGTTTTTTTTTCCTCGCCCCGTGTTTTCTTTTCACGTCGTATGGGGAATATGAAGTAGTGCGAAAACCATTTTTCAAGGGCTTTCCCCTTTCTACAACCTACTCCTCCCCCTCCCTTGGGAGAGTAGAAAAAAATTACCGAAATGAAAGTAACAGCTTCAAAAACGAGAGTCTATTGTCTCTGCAGGAAATGGAACTTCAAATTTTCAAGAGCGATTCTGCACCGAGAGGGTTCAAAGCACACCCAATATCGTTTCTGCTCTCAGAGAGGAATGAACAAAGGTGGAATTTCATAACAGGAAGGGACCGAAGAAAGTGAATGGGAGCGACCGATTGAGAGACAGTCTCATTCTTACCGTCCCTTTCTTTCACAAAGTCGCAAACAAACCTCGGACTTTATTGCAACTTCTCGTTTCTGGAAACGATTAGAGTCAATCAATTTCTTCTTCTTCGTCTCTGGAGACAATGGAAGCCTTGCAACTCAACCGATTCAGCTCTAGTGACGCACAAAGACCGAGTCATCAGTAACCGTTGGATAAGGGTTCCGCAGTTGATTTCTTCATCGAATTGATTTTTTCATCAGCACCAAAACTTTTCGCGCGTCATCCCGACACTTCATGGCACCCGTATCCATTAAAATACGGAAAATAAAATCTTTCGAAATATTGTGAAAAAAAAATAGAACTGGTGCGACATGACTAACTCACGAAGTTCGAAACCTCATAACCCCGGACTTAGAAAATGTATGAGTAAGATACATTACTGTCTAATGGAGTAATTACAACCCATGAAATTAGAAGCGTTTGAGAATTGTTAACAATTTGAAATTTGATTCGTCGGGCGAGATGAAGTGATGAAGCATTGTGACGTCATGGGCCATCATGTTAACCACTCACCCTGCACATAGCGTTTTCCAAACAGTTCCTGAATCATACCGTTTCAGAGAAAGCCTGAAATAAGCAGAACACGACACCATTCGGACGGTTCCGATTGTCGCCGAGTTGTCTCTTCTCGTTCGAAACTCTGTTTTCTTTTATGTCGTTCTGCTATCTATACTTAATAGTCGTGTCTCTGAAAGTTTCAATTGCAGGAATCTCATAACTCAATTTAAGGGGAAGTCAAACTCGGACGAAAATACCTCGAGCTGAAGCGGTTGTCGTAAAAGCAGAGACGAAATTTCACGGTCAAAAACTTCGAATAGCCAACTTTTCTGCAGACTTATCTTGCGGCTTTTCACTCGAGCGGTGAATAGCAATGTGCATGCCCGATGAATATCAATTTCAAAGGGAATTCAGAAACTTTCGACGCCTTAAGCTACTGAAAGCGACAATAGGCTCTTGCTCGATCCGCTTTCCAATATGGTGGTCCAACAGAACGGCTGAGGTCGAACATTAAATTTTACATTACTCGGAATCGTTGCATTATGCAACGATGATCTGGATCGACCAGGACGGAGTCGTTTCTGGTTGGTAGACGTGATATCGCCCTCCACAGGTAAAAACGCACGCAAAGAAAATGCGCGTTGCCTAAAAGCTGAAAGAGCCCGCTTGGTTCGGGATAGGGTCAGTAGTTAATCTATTGTAAGTTTTTTTTTTAGATTTTAAGAAAGGCGTATGAACTGGGGTTGCGGGATGGACACTGCCATTCTGGTCTGTCATACCCTTCATGGATATATTCGCCGTTAATATGTCAATTATTCTTGTTGGAGAGTGTTCCTACTTTGATTTTAGAGCATTTCTAAGCTGAAATCTGAACATTTTCAAGTTCGATTCCATGGTTGTCCTTTGAATATGAGATGAAAAGTAACTTGATATCGCGAGGAAGAAAGATGGAAGCAAACAGGGAACCTCTTTTTCCTTCTAATGGAAAACATTCTGGCTATCAAATCGCTTCGAATCGAGGAAGGCCGCAGAGGTTCTCTCTGGGCTTCAATGTGTTATCTTAGGATCTGCTGATCGCTTATCTACGCCTTTTTTTTTTCCTCCTGTGTTTCCACTTTCCTTTGTCAGAGGAGTGAGACTTCTGCTTTCAACTTTTCTTTTGGATCTACTGCTTGCAGCGTGAGTTTTTTCATAATCAGATTTAGAACCATCATCTTGAATCCGAGCCGCATGGGCCTGATAAACGTTTCAGTAATATGCAAACGGATTCGTAGAGGAATTCGTAAGCCCACTGTCTCTTATGTCAAGGAAGATATAGTTTCATTGCATGCACCATGGAAATAACACGAACGATCCGAAAGATTTTACGAAATCATTAACAAATCACTGTAACTAGTTCAAATTATCCAAGGTGGCTTAAGTGAAGTTGTGGACCCCTTCTGGACACCTACCAGCAAGAGTTCCTAGAGCAAAACTTTGGGTCTCCCTTCCCACGTTGCAGCGGGTCGAGCTGCAGATTCCAGCTCCCTTCCAGCTCGATCCTGTCTCGGCACATGAATCTCCCTCAGTCCCAATATCCATTTTTCCCTTCCAGGGCGAAGAGCAAGTAAGGCAAGACGCCTCATTGACTAGACTTTCCTTGTACTCATGTGATAGGCCTAAGATCTATCGGGCCAATATCATGTGGCAATTAGGCCTTGAGCCGTTGGAACTCGCCTAATTGCATCAGTCAGCCCTCTGGAACAAGTGAACCATCAGGAAATTACGCTCCCAGTGTCTCTCACTTTCGGTCAGAGATGATGAATCTCCAGTAAAATCACTGGCGCTTAGGCTGAAGGCTAGACACATTCCCTGGCTGGCAATCCGATCTTAATAAAAAGCTTCATAGTTTCTTGGATTATAGCGACTTGGTTTCCTAGTATCTGCCCCAGTATCTCCGTATCCCCAGTATCCGTAGTTTCCCAGTATCTCCCTCATCGTCCTGTCGTTTGCACAGTTGAACAGCTCAACCAGCATTGGGAAAGGAAAAATCAGGCTATCAGCGAAGTATTCGAACAACGCCATTATGGTGCGGAGTGGGTGCGAGCAGGGCCCGGGTAGCGATCCATTTATTTAACATAGCGTGAAGGTCATACTGGAGGATATAGCCTATTCGGCAGCAAACGATACACTTGGTCGAGCTGAGAGAAATTTCTTGGGATCTTGCTACTTCTGATAGAAAGAAAGAAAGTCGGCAATCCTGATTTCCATGAAATTCCTCCCTTCACCATGTCTCAGGCCAGGAGCTTGAGTGATACATAATGACCGAGGCCGTCCCTTGACCTGTCACGTCGAAGTCGCAAGTGTGCCTTATGAGGTCGAATAGACTATACTTCCTTACATGTAAAAAAAAATTAATTAAAAAAAGAAAGAAGCCCTCTCAAGGGAGACAGGAAGCATACATGGAAGTCCACAAAGCACATAGAATTTCATTACAGACGGATGTCAACAAAACAGGCCTCTTCCAATATCGTCGACCGCCCTCTGACAAGAAAATCATCTCTCTCTTTATTGTGATTTATGGGTCCCAGAGGAGGGGGAGTGGGAGCGGGGGGAGGGAGAGAGAGAAGAAATCGCTGACGGTTCTTGGAGGCACGTCAGTTGGGAGCTGATTGAATGCACGCGAGGGTCATTTTCCATAATTTTCTCCAAATTTCGGTTCCATGGAATTCCTATCGATTCGAGTGAATGCCCTTTCCTACAAAATAGGAATCCTGTCCCGTCGGAGGAAAAAGGGGATCGATAGGATTATTCGTACAGTGAAGAGATCTGAAATCCATGAGATCTGTTCTCAACTGATACGCGGAAAGCTGGGTGTCTCAATAGTCTGCCTACCAAAGTGTAATTGCACAGAATACGAGATACTCGTTAACGTTGGAATGTCAATGGCATGGCAAGCGAATTGCATAAACAAACCTTCCAGGTGTTGATTGCACTAAGTTCACTCGAGTGTTTATCTCCATCAACAGCAGTTATGAACCAAAATTTCCACTACATGATGATAGATGCATTCCCTTCTGCCCCTGCAGGTACATGGCCATCAACAGACCGCTGAGACCTCGAATGGGTCGAAGGGCAACCCTGGGCATCATCGTCTTCATCTGGGTGGCGTCCACCGGACTGGGTCTCCCGCATTTCCTCTATTCCACCACGTGGGAGGAACGATTTGGCAACAATGACACCCGAGTCATCTGCTTCCAAATCTGGCCCGATGGACCCATGTTACAGAGTCAACACGAACTTGTGTGAGTGAATTCTCCTTAGCAGAGAGCATCGTAATTGAGGAGAGGAGTCGAAGCCACTCGCGAGGCCTGTCCAGGAAAGCCTCTTACAGAATGAGCTCGTGGAGAGGTTTAGAGTAGAGGTGTGCGTGAGTCCCGCTTCACGCGTGATTCAAGCGGGACTCACGACTATTTTCGTGAGTCGTTCGTTACTCGTACGGAGCTTCGGCGAAGGCCCTTATCGTGATCGTGGCGCGAACAGAATTCACTCGCTCGTGATCGTGAGTTTTTTTCCGGCGGAGTTACTTTGCCGGTTTTTATCTCTCCCAGACACATGCCACAGTTTGGATATGACTCTTCCATTCTAGCTCTTTGAAGTTCCAACCCTTGGGAACGTCCGAAACTTCACTTTCTCATGCAAGCTTTTTCCTGGAGCCATGGAGAATCCGAAAAAAAACTTGTTTTATCTTCCAATCATTCGCCGCCTGAAAGCAGATTTCCCCTGTTCGGCCATTGCACGGCCGAGCATGCTATGCAAATGAAGTGCTCTGTGTTCTCTTAAGTTCCACCCCAAGCGTGAGGTTTTTTTCGGGTGCTCTGGTGACTCTGGATCAATCTCTGAAAGTTTGGACATGATTTTTCTCAACAAGAACTTGCAAACAAGTAACTACCACGTAAATCAAGTGTCATCCGGTTACTACACAATTTCTTACTATTTACTATTTTTAAATACAATAACTGAAGGAAATATTAATCTACATCATTTTGAAAGAGGAGTCAACTGTCACGCGTGACACGACTCACGAGGTATCACGCGTGATTTTGCGTGAGTTCAATTCACGGTCGCAATTATCATGCGTACCCGTGAATCTCAAGTGATATTGAATCAAGGGATTGCGTGAACATGAGTGACAACATGGTTTTTCTCTCGTGATCGTGAGTGATCGTGAGTAAAAAATCACTCACGCGCGCACCTCTAGTTTAGAGGCTTCGAAAGTACGGAGGAATTCCACTTGCGAGAAATGTTAATCTGCCACCTGCCACAGGGATTCATTGCGCGCCTGATGCTCTAACAACGGTTACTGCAAGCATCGTCTACGATGAACGACTCCGACACAGCTTAAAATAGAAGTGCACCGTCGTTTGAGAGAGGGAGAGGGGGCAGTGGCGGATCCAGAACGACCAGCCACTGCTCCAGGATATACTCCAAGATAAGAACAGTTATCTTAGGACAAGATAGGTCAAACGACAGTCTGAATTGCATCATTTTCTTATTCCCGAGGGAGCTGAACCAGTGGGGGGTACAAAGGGAGGGGGTTGGGAGGGCAGCATTCATTCTTCATTAAGCATGGCATCTAGATCTTGCCCTCTACCCTTCTCATCATCTTTCCCCTTCTCCTCTCCAATTTAGTTGAATATTCGACGCCAACAGCTTATTCCATAGAGCTCATAAGCAGATGCGACGTATCTTTTTCCTTTGACCTCATTCGAAACTTGGCATGTTTAGAGCGTAGAATAAGAATACGACTCAAATGTCGTCCCTTTAGAATAAGAGACGACTTAGGAGTCGTATAATCCACGGTTTGGATTACTCCAAAGTCAGATGACTATCTCTATGAGGATTCAGATCTATTTCGGGAATTATACAGTATTGAAAATAATACTCAAATCGGAAAGATCTCGATTTTACTTCCGTCCACGCGATCGGATCGGACGGCTTAATGTCAGCTCATATAACGCGATGCCTCATATGCAAAAGTCTCCCTCCATTGCTCCCAGTTTCCGTAAATATGCACTTTGGTGGCCGTGTTTTCAGCTTGAGACTTCCATCATCAGGGCCCTGAACCAGGATCCAAACGACAGTCTTCCCATCCGAATCTTTTCTATCAGCTCAATGCTACGTTATTTCAATTGAAATGGAGATTGCATTTCACTATGGGCTAGACATTCGTGAAAAAACGAAGTTATCAAGTGACAGATTTTCCATTCGTATCCTTTTATCAACCCAATGGCCCTTTCTTTCGATTGAAAAGGAGATTACATTTCACAATGGGCGAGACAATCGCCAAGAAACGAAGCTAACACAGGAAAATGGAAATCTTGTCAAGCCCAGACATAGACGACGTGCTGGGTCTCGGACTGTCCTGAGTTTCTGTCGCGGTGCGGGCAAGCGCCTTGCCCAGGGAGAAGACGGCGTCGAGGAGAGTCTGTGACCTCCAATCCCGTTCTTTCACTCCTGATTCTTGGGATTCCCCCGTCTTCCATCCCCTCCTCCGTCTCTTACTCCCTTAAAAGGTCTATGATAGGGTGGCTTATTTTACTCCTTTTTGGGTGCTAACGAACTTTCAGGTAAGAAAACTATGAGTCCGTCCTCAGTTAAAATGGAATAAAAGAAGCCACAACTTGATTTCGTTTTCGCCGTTCGCTTTGCCCGTCTGTCGCGTCCGAAGCCTCAACTATGCATGCAAAAATCAGATTGACAAATGAAACAAAGAAGCCATGGAAATTAACGTCACTCCTTTGAGACTTTCCCTCTTTTACTTGCTTCCACACAGGTAAATTCATGAGTAGGATCACATTTTTCTGCATTATCTGCTGACAACGAGGCGGTCTCAGATGAAAGGATAGGATGAGTAGGGAAGAGTCTGGAAAACTTTCTTAAAACCCCAATATGCAATTCCGTCATTCATCGGTCTGTACAACAGTGCATTTATAGCACAGCAGAAGCAAAAGTGCAGAAAAAAGTGGAATAATCCTGGGTTAGATCGGATCGAAATCGTATGCACGATTGCCATGGAGCTTGATTCCGTTCGGTTCGAATTGATATTGCGAATTTTTGTTGGAATTCTTTCGAGTGCTTGTCGAATTCGTGTCGGACTTCACTGGGAAACCTTGAATTGAACTCACCAGTTTCGAATCCTGTGAGTTGGAAAGGGATTAATTTCTTGCTCGTTGTTAGAAGGGATTTTCTTTTCCTTTGTGATAACATCCAATTTTGATGGAAATATAATCGTAATAAACCAGGCTCTAATGCAGTGAGTCGATACTTCTGTGATGGGAGCACAAATGCGAGAAGAGGGGGCTCTCATCTGGGGAGAAGACCCTTAGGGCATATCATTACAGGGGAAGCCACTTACGACTTCTCGCGGAGGCCCGCTCGATCTTCCCGATATCTGCTTCCACCCCTTGCACTCCCGTCATTCTCTCTGCATCTCCGGTTCCTCTTGGTTCTTGTCCCGCTCCATCCTCGATCCTTCTTCCACTCCAATGGCACGAAATCTATGCTTCCATCGATTCGCGTTTCGAATCAATCTAGAATCTCGATCTCCACAATTCATTCTCGACTTGGTCGGGAGTGAATCGTGGAGGTCGAGATTCAGAATTAATTGGGTTGTTCAAAGAGACGATAAAGTGAAGTTCTTTTGCGAAAGGTGGTCAGCAGTTGAACTGCGCTTCCCCCGTTTACTGGGTATCCCCACCTCCCTCTTGCGGCAGGTCTGAAAATTAGTGGAATTAGTTCATGCTGTACTAAACATGATTCATGAGCTCTATTCTAATATAGCAGTCCAAACCACTCATCTAAGAGGTTATTTCGACGTCCACATCGTGGAAATGTGTATTGGAGTTTATAAGTGAATCTTTATGCCATTAAAAGTTGCCCTGGAATCTTAGAAGTATAGAATATCAGACAAACCCTAACATCATGAGACATTTAGAATGCGCAGGCACAAACCGATTCAATTCCGTATTTCCGTATAACCGTATTTCAAATTTTTTTTAAGAAGAAGACAATGTGCTTCAAAGAAAAACACGCAGACGTAAAAAATAGAAAAGAAAGAACATGAATGAATGCCTCACTAAGTGCTTCATAGAACGGAAAATCGAGGTGAAATTGAAAGGAGTGGTGAGAAGCAGGCGGCCCTTTGAGATCAATGGATGGGGAAAAACTGTTGAGGGTAAAGGCTACGGGTGGATTTTTGAACAGAGAACTATCCGATAATGCAGCTTTATTCCAAGGAAAATAGCATGCATTTTAGTTGGAATAAAGCTGCATTATCGGATAGTTCTCTGTTCAAAAATCCACCCTACATTTGAGGAGGAAAACCTCCTTTCCTTGAATGAGTTAATGAAGAGAGATGATCAAGAAGGTGCTTCAATAGCTGCCACTAGTGTTCTATGATGATGTGGGATTGCTTTTTCTAATGATTGATGACAAAACAGCGACGATCCATCCTCGGTGAATGCCTTGGGTAATGCACCCAATGCATGGGGTCGAACGGACGGAAAAAGTAACGCATTCAACCGCTATTTGGCCCGACAGTCGGCACCATGGTCACTGGAGCAAGAAATTGCATTAGGTTCTGATCCTTTATTATAACCCTTATCAGCGATCACGTCCTCGCTGACGTGATGTGACGTGCCAATCCCTAAGGTATCGCCAAATGACGTCATACTTCTAATGACTTGCACGATATTCGAAAGGTCGAAAGGTTCTCGCTCGTCTACTCTGGTCGTCTGGTATTTTAAAGTTATTCTTCATTTGTGCTAAAATTGCATTAATCCTGTACTCTTCGGGGTTGGGTCTATCCGCCAGTTTTAGTCTGACAAAGGTTGATTTCAAAACTGCAGTCCGGTTCAGTTCCAGTTGGAATTTCTTTGTAATAGTCGACAAGAGCACAGCGAAATTTCGGACTGACCAAAGTCTGAACTGAAACTAGAACCGAACTGCAATTGAACCGCCGTTTCGAAATCAGCCAAGGGATGGATGATCACGAGACCTTAGTTCCTCGGAGCACTGGTCCAATCTTCTTACCTATGCGGAAATATTTTTTTTCCCGCATAGGTAAGAAGACAACTCGGAGGAGAATTTTCATTTCATGCTATGCCAAAAGTTCGTCAGAGACTTCAATAGAAATTCTAATTAGGGTTGTAACGATGTATCGGCATCCATTAGTGCCATCGACCATCGGCAGGGTTGCAAGCAATCGATGCCGATGCCCAAAGAAAGGGCAAAGCGAAAAAAA